AGGTAGGTGTCGCTTGTCTGAGCGACACGTTGTTTACAATTAATTATTTTATATCTATTCTCTTCCGGTAGTGCTAGGGAAATGTTCGGAAAGCATAATCGTTGTTGCCTAAAGAAAATTAAGAATTGGGTGCAGTGTATACTGTGTGCAAATTAGGTCTTTGATTGACAAAAAAAAAAACGTGCACGTTTTGAGAAAATCTTTAATTAGCTTAGATTAAATGTACATGCAAGAAGCTTAATTCACTACATAAAAGGAGGAAGTATTAATGCTCTTCAGAAAATAGGAAATTATACACACAGGCTCTTGTGGTAAAAAGAGTATAGTTATCTTTTAAATAACCTTTCATTTAGAGTTATTTGTAGGGACGCCGCGAACGTTTTTTGAATCGAAGTTTCGATTATCGAATCAAGCGGTTCGAAAGGTTCGAATATTTCGAATTTTCGAACTTTCCAGATCGAGAAATTCGACGGAAGTCGAATTTTCGAACTTATTAAACTAAGAAGTGCGACGCGTTTCGAATTTTCGAACTCATTACGCTGCAAAATTCGATGCTTGTCGAACTTTTGAACTTGATAGACTAAAAAATCTGATGAGTTTCGAACTTTCGAACTTCTTGCACTAAAAAGTGCGAAGCTTTTCGAACTTTCGAACTTCCTACGCTAAAAAATTCTATAATTTTCGAACTTTCGACTTATTAACCTAAAGAATTCGAAAATTGTCGAACTCTCGATTCCTGAAAAAACAAAAGTTCTACGAACTTCGAACTTATAGGGCAAAAGTTCCAAGTCGTCGAACTTCGAAAGACCGGCGGGCGGTTTCGTTTGGATTCAAGCAGTGAGGTACATTCGTAATTTTTTTTTTCGCAATTTTACATGGGGTGCCGCATTCCTTGCGAAAGACAATGCCGTTTGTTTCAATCATCTGGCATGCTTGGTTTTAGAAAAATAGATTCCCGAAGGAGCGAGGAAGGACGACGGGTTTTTGACAATTGTCGTTTGTGCCATATTTGAAGCGCGCTATAGCCGAAGTTATTTATGGTAGAGATGTTAAACATTTTAAGAATTATCTATATATAACCTAGGTGAGTGTCGTCTTAAGATACGATTATTGTTGTTCAAGACGAGTTTCGAATAAATATCCAAACATGTACCTACGGACAATTATGCCCTAAACTTGGTAATTTTTTTCGCCTACATTGTTTCGGTATCGCATTTAAATTAACACCAGAGACAGTACACATCATTACCATCTGCAGAATACAAAATAATGTATTTATTGTTTTTTCACGTTGAGGAATAAATTAACTCATGGAGATGAAGATTTATAAAATTGTTCAAGTTCAGCGTGTCATAAAAAAATATTTTTGTTTTCTCATTTTACGTTCTTGGGACGTGTTTCTTTTCGCCTGTACACATTTTGGTAGGAGAAACTTGTTTCATAGTTCTGGGGATTCTGGGCCTCTGAATATGCAGGAATACAACACTTCCGGCGGGTTCTTGATAGTTTTTTTTTTCTCCAGCTTCTTATTTTTGCATTTATCGTTATGTTTATTTATTGATTGTTTTTTTACCAATGGCACAGTTATTTAGGTCAAAAAGACATAGCTTTGAACTTTCGAGCCACCGAGCATGTGACGAGTAGTGCCTCCTGACAACGAGTTTCTAAAGGCCTATTCACGCATGCAGCGGAGCGCTACAAGCATAGCGCTGACATCGTGCCAAGGACGTGCCGACGGGAGCGTTCACCAGCTTTGTATCGCCCCGTCAAACTATTGCTCATGGCATACGATAAGTACCTGACGGCGTGTGAGCAGCGTTACATCAGCGCTTCGCTGCATGGGAGAACCGGCCTTAACAATGACCATCTACGCGATATTTTATGCAGTAAAGAGCAACAGTAGCTATACATACGCATAAATAATTTCAGATTAAAATAAGCTGGACCATGCCCTCTTTCCCCGTATTGTTTTCTTTAAAGGGATACTACAACAAAATTTCGGCGCTCATTTTTTGGTCTATATGTGTTCAAAGGAGCAGTATCACATCGAACACACCAATATATTGTTAAAAAGTCACAAAAAGGAATTTGAAAACGAATTAAACGATTAACAAAGAGCACCTGGTGGATGTCGCTAACGCCTCGTTCGTAATGCCCGTCTAGGAACCTTGAAAGCTAGTGACGGAGGTTCTCTCGCCTCCGGCCACGACGAGAGAAGGGGGGAAAGAGGAACTCCCCTTTTTCCGAGAATCCCTTTTGTATGTCGCAGAAGTCGCTATTGTCCCCCTACAAGATTATAGAAGATTAACCCGTCACTCAAAATTCATACAAAGGCAGCAGCTTCGGTGGCTGGAACGACTAGGCCATCCTCTCGACGTCAGCCTCGCCGTAGCTTCGCTCGTCCTGAGACGACCTACGTCACGATCGCGCTGGGCCTTCTCCGAGCGCTTACCAGAGTGAGCCGTTTATAACGAAAAATACAGCCACCAGGCACTAAATACAAACGTGCGATTGTCATTTACAGATATTGTGGATCATATTCAACCTATTTTTGAACACGATGGGAATATTTCAAATTTCGTTGAAGTATCCCTTTAAGAGTCCGAAATATCTGGGAGGGGGGGGGGGGGGGAGAGACTGGAGCTCCCCCCCCCCCCCCCGTGTTTCCTCTTCCGACGCCACTGGTATGGTAGAACGCTCCTCGGCCTCAAGTTGCGTCAGCTTCTGTGCTTTTTGCTCGGCGTTTCTTCCGCCACAGAAAATAAACCTCCAAAGCAATTACAAACAAAAAAAAATTGTCAAGGTGCAGGCGAGCTGCTGTATGTTGACATGATGCAAAATCCCGAGACTGGGAATGAAATTCGCAAGAAATAGTGTAAGAAGAAAGAAAAAAGGGGACAGGACAACGTCTCAAACTCAGCTGAGTTGAGTTTGAGGCGTTGTCCTGAGCTGGGTTTTCAGCTGAGTTGAGTTTCAGACGTTGTCCTGTCCCCTTTTTTCTGTCTTCTTACAGTTTTTCTTTCAAATTTCATTCCCAGTCTCAGGATTTTGCATCATGTACAAACTAAACTTACTATATGCCAGCGTCCCTCGGGCGGCGTTCGATCGGATTACTACCAGCGTGCAAGGGGGTAGGGGGGCAGTTTGCCAGATCACTTCAAGGTTTTTCTGAACCTCAACCACCTGCCTGCCCCTGGCCGTTTCGAACTAGATGAGTGTCGTTAGAAAGTGCGTTCGTAGGATCACTACTTCGCAATGCACGTTAATGACCACCCCGGGCTGGCGGTCACAATTACTGATCTATTGTCACACGTCACTGCACTGGCACATCCGAGGCACTCGTCATCTCATTTAATTGCATGACCAACTTCGCGCAGTCTAAATATCACACCCGAACTTTTCTAAACCTGATTTCGTGAAAACCAGTGAGGCGTGAAAACGTTATTTGAAACTGAAAGTGTGGCGGAACATGAATACCGGACTTCGAACTTTGCGCACTTGGACTTCAAAGAAATCAGAAACCTTCGAAGTTTTTTTTTTTTTTTTTTGAATTTAGCATTAAAAAAGAATTGAAACCTTCGAACTTTTCGAACTTTATGTAGAAAGAATTTTAAAATCTTCGAATTTATTGACCTTTATGTCTTTAAAAATTTGAAACCTTATAATTTTTTTAATTTTAGATTTAAAGGAGTTCGAAACAATCGAATCTCTCGAATTTCAAATTAGGGAAGTTCGAAATATTCGAATTTATCGAACCTCAAGTAAACAAATATTCGAAATAATCGAACCCGAACTTTTAAAAACCGTGAAAACTTCGAACTTTTCGAATTCGAAACCCCATGATTTTGGAAAGTTGCAAATTTTTCGAATTCGAACCTCCCTACGGTCGAAAATATCGAAACTTTTCGAAATCGAACATCAGTTCGGTTCGAAAACATCGAAACCTTTCGAATTCGGACCTAGGGTGGTTTGCGGCCATCCCTAGTTATTTGACTTCCATACTTCATCCTAAGCAAAGGGATTGAGAAAAGTCGCGGAACTTAATTTCAACTGATATACTTGCTTAGCTCGTGAAAAAATGAACATGACTGGATTCACTATATAAACAACGGCTGAAGTGTCGGCCCACCATTCCTCTTCTTTGTTTTTGCGAGTGCCGTTATTCTAGTGCTTCGTGCAGAGCGTGCGCAATTGGCAATCGCTGCGGTTTCAATGAGTTACTTCTTGACCTTCATATTCCGTGTCAGGGAGATAAAGCGCTGTTGTTTTGCTTTGTTTATTACTGTGTTATCACTTTCTCAGAACGTTAAACCGTTTCGCGCGATTTCAGACAAAGCTTCTAATAACTGGAGACGATGATTGTATGCACCTGGATGGCTCAAGTGACGCCACCCTGAGGAGCAGCTTGTTTAGTGGCCCTAAGCACGACTTTTGTCACAGACAGTATGAAAACGGCAGCACGCCTCTTCTCAATTTCGGTCCTGGCGCAAGTGCCTGTTGCCTTCCGTCGTGCTTTGACTCCACGTGCAGGCCCGAATTCAACAAGATGCCGAAGTGTTATCGACAGTAGGAAGTTTACGCAAGAGGTGAAATGACAGAACGACTTATGCTACCGTTCTAATCCTGTCAATGACTCTGATTTGCAGGTTTTCACTTTTGGCTTCATGTTTCCGACCTGGCAAAATATTATCCACCGTCAAGCCACGTTAATATTACAATTCCTTTTTTTCATACTTGCGGATTTTGAATATATTCTTCCCTTCGCAGCTCCATCAGCAGTGCTGGATCTAAGATCTTATATATTATAGGTATCTGTACATGGAACAAAATTTACATGCTCGACTTCAGGATAATAGTTTCCTGGTTCCGAAGAGTAGAATACGCAATTATTGGCTTTCAATAACAATGCAGCAATATAATGTTGCTTTGGATGGGGTGTTCTGAAACTTGTGTATAAACAAAAACAATAAAACAATATTGTTGAAAATTCGTGTACTTACGCTTGTAAATCATCTGTCCATCTCCAAACGTTGCAGCAGCTGTGAAATGGATTGAACAAAAATATATTTAACAGCTATAAAAAAATTAAAAGCGTTTATAACTCACTGTAATGCCGAATTAGAGTGCAGCTCTTGAGGAGGAGGAGCGGAGGGTACGGAGGGGACGCTATGCCTCTCCCCCTCCCTCCTCATCGACTCGTCCCGTATTCCTCGCCTCCCACCCCCTCTTCTCTTCCTTCTCCCTCATCGTCCTCCTCCTCCATCCTCCTCCCCCTTCCTCCTCCACTCCCCCTCCTCCCTCCCGCGCGGTGCATTATGGGAAACGTCCCATAATGCAACGCGCGCGTCACCCAGGTGCATTATGGCACGTTTCCCATAATGCACCGCGCGGGTACGCCGACGGCGACTCCGACGCGTCACGAAAAAATATTAAGCCGACGCGTTACGGTAACGCCGGCGACGACGGCGGCGCTGACGCGGCACAAAAAAGCATTACGCCGACGCGTTACAGCTACGCCGACGCGTCGCAATAGAGCGTTACGCCGACGCGATACGGCTACGCCGACGGCGACAGCGACGCGTCACGAAAAAGCATTACGCCGACGCGTTATGGTTACACCGACGCGTCAGAAAAAAGCGTTATGCCGATGCGTTAAGGTTACGCCGACGGCGACGCCGACGCCGCTCAAGCCGGAAATGGGCGCCTAAGAGCTGCGTTTTAAAACAATATAGCTTTTCTTAGCGTGTTCTAAGTCCGCATTAGTGAGTTTTTGGGAGCGAATAAATGGACCTTTTCCGAGAAGCGTTCTGCGCACGCGCGAGCGCCCGACGCCAAACGGCGGAAGTCGGAACAAAAAAATCGAGGAAATTCGGAAGGAGGCTGTATATCAGTGAGTAGAACACGTAACTGCAGCATATATATAATTGTGTTACACAAAAAAAGAGCGTCGACGGAAAGGAAAACACGACGTTTGGGTGGACGCCGCGGATGCCCCTTTTTAAGGTCGCGTTGGGCAGGCGGGGCAGGCGCCACTGCTCAGAGAGCGAAGAAACTGGTAGCGTAGCTCCCATTATTGATTGGTAGCGCAGGTAGGTCACTTCCTCGACCCTTAGTTCGTGCAGTCACCGCCTGGTGCCGTCGGTATGTGGAAAAGGTCCATTCACCGCATCAGAGAACGCTAGTATTTTATCAAATTTTGGCCACAACCAACATATGACAATTTCAGCCGAATAATCTGCCCGTTAGGGGAAATTTTCATGCATGAAATTCCAACATCCTCCGTCGGCAACAAACAAATACTTGCTGCGTGACACCATGGATCATATACAGCAATAATGCTTGGTTTAAAGAAACGCCAGGAAGCATGATATATGTCATTTCTTTCTTTGATTTGCTTTGCCAGGTTCGCACTGACCCAAGGTTTTGCTATTTTTTGTGTTTAGGTTTTGATTGAATTTATATGGAAGGCGGTGTGTAGCCACTTTTCAACTTGTTAAGAAAGGTACTAAATGCAAAATTTGGGTTTTCTTGTGCAGATACATGAACCCAAATTGTTTTCCTAAAAAGGCAAACAAAAGTTTGAAATGTTCATCATTTATATCTCTATAAAAAAGGTTTCAGCTGACCTGTTTTGTTTTTTTTTTGTAAAACAAAACATCAACAAAAGAAGGATAATTTGTTCATGTCTTCCGGGAATTCTCTCGATATAGCGATGCTTGTAATTATATTTGTGATACTTATATCACCGAGGTTGTGTTCGCTTCATTAGTGCTGGTAAGCAGAGTTATCATATTGCTATAGGCATTCTGATTAAGAATGTTTTGAAATTTTGTGGCGTGTCTCTTGTAAGCAATAGTCTTAATGCGCATATCTCCGAGAATCATAAATTGTGTTGAACATGAACCCAGAAAGCTTAACAAATTATCAAAATATTTTAAAGTATCACCAACATTGCCAGACGGTGGTCTATGCACAGTAGCAATATTCCCAACAACAACCTTAGCAGCCAGACTCTCAACAAATGTATTCAATAATTTAATGCCTTCCAGGGCTTAGAACATAAATAGTTCTTAAAATACATGGATCCTCAACATCCCCTTTTTTATTCCTTTGCAAAAGCTTTTGAATTTGTAGTTTCAAAATTCCGTGGAGACTGGTCTGTGAGAGCTTTGTTCCAGTAATTAACATCACGTAAAAGAGTAACCGATGTTGGTTGAAGAAGAAGAATCAGATTTGTCTTGTTTTATTCTAAAACGTTGGAAGTTCATATGCATGACAAAAAGGTGACAGGTAGTTCTTGTACATTTTGTTAGAGGAAAATTAGGTGTGGTATCTGCATTCTTTCTTGTATGATGTAATAAAAAGAGATGTCCACAATATATAAGTAAACTTGAAAAATAGTTGAACAATTTCCTGATGACACTTTGACTGTTGATCCTTAACACTTCTGAGGTGTGATCCTTACGTGTGAAGATTTGTCCACCCTTAGTTCACACAACCTTCCATCCTACCACTCGCTTTTCTGCGGTTGCTGCGCCGAGCAGCGTTTCGGCCAGGTTTGTTGAGTTCTCTCTGCGTGGACTGGGGAACTTGGTCCACCGTAGCCGAGAGCCGCTGTTTTTATTTTGTGCTTCTGTGCCTTCGCCAAAATTATTTTTCTTCGCACATTAAACAAACCGGACCGCTTTTTTTTCCGGCTCTCTTCGAACGTCGAAAACCGTTGAGAGACGTCGATGTCGGAGTCCCTGATGGGCTCGCCCTGAAGAGGGCCATTTTTTTTTTAACTACGGCTTGAGAGTCTTCCACGGAAGGTGCCACTTTGGTTTCTAGATTGTTTGATCGCTGATGCATTTACCTCTCCTCGAGTTTAGTTTTTAGCATAGCGTTCTCGATGTCAAGCTTTTGGTGTCAGGTTGACAGCTGCTGAATCATTGACGTAGTCCTTTCAACTCATTTTTAGGTTCCTTAACACCGTCTCCTTTAATTCAACACTTTGATTTAAGCTCCGAATGTCTGCTTTGATATCACGGCATATATTACCAAGAAATTTAGCAAGTTCTTTGACCTCTTTGCCCGGGCTTTTAAGCAATTCATGATTTCACAGCAATAGCACAAATCGGCAAATACTGAGTTTCTCAGCAGTGCACTCGAATGTGTAACAGATTGACGAATCGCGACAGTGCTTCCTACCTTCGGGTGAAGTGCAGGAAGCACCAAGATTGCCGCATTCAGAGTGCGCCGCTGCCGAACTGCGATGTCGAAGGTCCGTTTTTGGACCATAGGGTGGCTGTCGCCCCACTGGCCGCCTTCTTAGAACGGGCTTGTTTTTCTCGGAAGCGCGTGACCATTTTAAATAATGGCATCACATAATCGGCTCTACATCACATGACAATTCTTCTGCCTGTGAAAAGGTTAACGGTACTTGTTTTTTCTTTCTTTTTTTTTCCTGTTACTTTTATTGCGTGGAGAAAAAAAAAACTAAAACGTGTTTCGTAGGTTATGAACGTAAAGGTGTGAATTCTAAGCAGTATTTACTGAATGTACAAACAGTGTTGCACTACCCCTTTATGAAGAAAGGCTACCTCTTGTATTCGCTTTTTTGTTTTAATATTCCTGAAGCTTCAATAAACCTGTTACAACAAAATAAAACTTAAAAACAAAACATGTTTGGCGTTTTTCTTTAAAAAATTATTAACATTCCCATAACGTTCTCTAAGAGAATATTTGATATCCTCGCGACTTCATGACTGTTATAAAATCTAACGTGCTATACGTGAACATCTAAAAAAATGTATCTTACAAACTGGCTCTAATCCTGCAAGAGAGGCTAAAGTTGTGCGAGAAAAGTGCAACATAATAGCGGGACATATTTTTACATAAAATAATTCGAGAAGCGATTCCTGATGGTGCAGTACTAGACCACCGAAACGAAAAAGAAGCAGAAACTTACTTGCTATAATTAGTAGCCCCCATGCTGTGGAGTAGCCAGAATGCATTTCTAATGACTCGACTACGCTAGGGAGGTCTTATTTTATGATGTACTAGCTTAACATGCGAGCTTCTTTAACTTGCAGTGCAGAAGGCAACGAACTCAATTGTACTTGCCCGCCGACTTCCGGAAATTCAAGTGTTCGCTCATGCACCTCTTGCCTAACTAACTTCCCGTTATTGCAGATTGCAAGATGATGTTTTACGTCATGTACATATTACGTCATCTACATTCTAAGGAGCTCATCGGCCCTCATGCGGCTAACCACTTTGAGCTCATAAGAGCAGTCGCGCATATGGCAACAAACATGTAGGAAACGCGAAGGCTGCTTAATTACATCTGATGCTTTGCGCATGTTACAATCTTAAAGGCGCAGCGCATTGTTTTCTCCGTGCTCGTATATAAAAATTCACAAAGCGTGGTAACGAATGTATTCATATTCACCTGACTGTAATCAGTTTCACCACTGACTCTCTAACTAAACGTAGTCCAGCGAAAAACAAAGCAAAATTTGACTGCACTTGACCTCTCGGTGAGGCAGTTAATTTTAGGTTAGAAAGACTGCGAATCATTCACAAGTAATTGTTTCGAGAGAAATAGAACTGTACCAACATATCGAAAATCTAACAATTTTACTTTTTTTTACGTTCGAAATGGATCATTCACCAATTGCTGCACCAATTTCACACATGGTCTAAGTCTAGTTGAAGTTTAAAATAATCGTCGTCATACTCAATTGTTCTGTATATGACGCAATCGTCAGCAAACAGTTTAGAAGTGAAGAAATATTTTAGCAGATGTCATTAATATATGCCAGAAAGAGGAGAGGCCCCAACACCGAACCCTAGGGAACACCAGATGTCACAGTCACACTCTTGGATGAACAACCCTTCAAAAGTACACATTGTTTTCTATTACTCAAGTAGTTACCAATCCAGGTTACGACATCGAAATTGCTATTTAAACACTCTAACTCACTCAGTAACAGACAATGATCCACTTTGTCGAATGCCTTAGACCATATCAAGAAAAATACAATCTACGTCTTTTCCGCACCTAATTGCAAGCGCAATGTCATGATGAAATTCAGCTAACAATGTTGTACATGATGCACAGGACCGGAAACAGTATTGCTCCTTTGCAAAGCAGTTATGCTTCTCTAAATGGGATATTACGCTACTATAAGCGACATGTTGAAGAATTTTACATAGGATCGATGTCAACAAGACAGGCCGATAATTACTAACAACATTTCCGTAACCGCTTTTGTGGATGGGCAAAACACTTGTAGTTTTCCAATCATCCGGAAGATTGTGCTCAGATAAGCTTATTGTAAAAATGATCCGTAGATAGCACGAAAGGATAGATGCGCAGCTTTTAAGGACGACAGCAAGAATGCCGTTAGGCCCGGTTGCTCTATTATCAGCAGCTTTTCGATTCCCTTGCATTGAATTATATCCAACGACACTGAACCCTATCCTAGATTTACCAAACGTGACGTGTCCCCAGTCGGAATCTTTATGTTGAAAAAGGATTGAAAGTATTCATTTAAACAGTTCGCATTCGCAGTGTCGTCAGTGATATCAGCGCCTTCGAAAAGAAGCGCCGGTATGGTAGCGTCAGCCTTTTTGTTGCTTTTGAGAAATCGCTAAAATTCTTTTCTATTGTTGGCAAAGTTGCTAATTAACTTATGAAAATACGTCATTTTACATTTTGCAACAACTAACATGTACTGAGACGACAAGCTCTTTAACCTATTTCTATTCATCTCTGACTTTTTTTTTTACACTAGTTCCCGACCGCTCTGTTTCGGCGTTTCATTAGTTGTAAAAGTTCTGGAATGTCTCATGCTTCGTTGACTGCTTTTTCATCTTAATTCGTTTAGTGGGTATGTGTTTGTTGATAAGAAAGTGTTGTTCTTCGATGAATATATTTTTAGATGTTTCAATTTCTGTAAGGCCTGCCCTGTGATTAAACACCGCTAAACACGAGTGTAGGTCCTGCGAGAGTGCAGTATAGTTTCCTTTGTTATATAAACGCACTTACCTTTCATTATGAATGTGCTTTGGAAGCCTGGGCAGAGATATTTCAGCAGTAACGGCATCGTGATCACTTATTTTAGGGATTGCTGTTGTGTTTTCGATGCAATCTGGGAGGTTACACATTACCAAGTCAAGAAGGTTGTTTTTTTCTTGTAAACTGGGTTACATATTGTTTAAAACCAAATGTATTGACAAGACCTTCAAATTCAATGTATAAGGTCGTATTTGGCACGCTAATATTTCCATTGTCCATTATTATTTTTGAAAGTTTAAAATCACCGCCTACAATTACACACTCATTTGGCATATTCTTAATAATTTCTTGGAGACCAGTCAGTGCTTCACCTACTAAAATTTATTTCCTTTTTAATTATATGCGAGACAAAACAGATTCAACACAACTGTCTTGACTTCGTAAGTGAGTGCTGTGCAACTCATCAGCAATCAACAGGAACACCCCTCCGCCGTGACTGTGACATTCACGACGATTTACTGCGTATCTCCGAAGGAGTACTTCATAATCTTTTACAGAACCATCGAGTCATGATTCATTTTCTACAACGATTGAGGGGTCAGCTTTTTAATGAGGCCACATAATTCAGAGACTATATTTTTAACACTTCGGGCAGTTTACAACCAAAATTCTATAGCTAGGATTCAGTGTTCATATTGTATACAAGAGATGCGGCGAACTTCTTTCCGACGTTAGGTTCGAACGTCGAATCAAGGGATTGAAAGTTTCAAAAGGGTTTCGAACTGACAAAGTTTTTACAAAAAACATTCGACGACTTTCCAACTTCCAAATTTTCAGCGTTCAAATTTTATCGATTTCAAATTTTCGAACTTTTCGCGCAAAGAAATTCGACAGTTTCGAAGCTTCATACTTCTCAGGCGGATTTTATCTGTGGCGCACCAGTCACCCAACTGCGTTTGGAGTTTTGCGTTTGTCCTCTGTCCCCTTTGTTCCCATTTTCCAGAAATTACTTTCACCATCATTCAGACCCGGCTGCATTTTAGAACGGCCAATATCCTCAGTCCCCGGTGAGTACACGGTCCAGGCACCGCAAGCACTGGCAATATGTTGAGCCCGATTACGACCGCCGCTACCTGATCGGATTTGTCTTCCGGAGTTTGTTGAAAGTTAGTCTGGTTGTGTTTTCACAATCTTGGCCAAAATACGATATAGCTTCGCCAATACTGGAAACTCCGTCGAAAACCCATGGGAGCGGCGGCGAACGTGACAGTGGCGCCTCTAGCGGACTCGGAGTCTACGCAAGCAAACGACGCAATGGAAAAGTATAGGCTCCGCGACGCCCTCGAGCTTTGCGAGCCCCGTTTCGTCACCCCAACAGCTGAAACAATTCATTACGGTCTGTCCGCTTGCAAAGCGGAATCCATTGATCGCAACTGCAACGACAATCAAATAACAACGCGCGCATAAACGAAGATAGAGCAATTTATTTAGAGGTCTCAAACGCCACTCAGGGAGATCACACGCGTTTGAAGCGCATCTGGGAAACGGAAAAAAGGTGTTTAGCCACTCGAACCACGTCGTAAGAAGTTACTGTTTATCCGTTACAAACTGCGTTGTCACAATTTTTTACCTGAATAGGTGATTATTAAATTGTGCGCAAACAATGTTAAAGTTACCAGAGCAAGCGCACCAGCCTCTGCAGCATTACAAAAACGAAAAGTAACAAGAAAAATGACCGTGCAAACACTTTCCGAACTTTGCAGAAAACATGGAGTCCCCATCTTAGACGAAAATAAAAAGAAACAGAGAACAGTCGCGAACAACGGCCGGCGATTGCAACGAAGAAGTTAGAAGACGATACAAGTATACAAATCACCCAGCAAGCAAACACCTCCATCAACGACGACGATCGCACGGGGCGTCGGTTGAAAATTAGCAGGTGGTGCTCGCCCTCGGTATCGAGTCCACAACAAACAAAGCGGAAGCAACACGACGAAACTATTAAAAAAAAAAGAGCTTCACTTTTTTTTTTCCAACTGCACGGTACACGTTTGTTTATTTGCTTTCGCAGCGTTGGTAGGAACTAAGAACAAAAGAGCTGCAATCTGCTACGTGCTAGCAGTGTGTGATTTTTTTTTGCTTTCGCTTTTCTTTTCCCAGTGACTTTGTCAGGTTGGTTTTTGCTCGCTTGACGCAGCAGTTCAAAAGTACATTCTAGTACTTGTTGGCGTACATGTCCAGGCAATCCTTGCTCACCGTGTCTTTGGTATGAGTGTCGATCAGCGGCCTCAAGTGCGTTTTCAGCTGAACTTTTGTTAGGTGAAATATTCGTCTGTTGAGGGGTCAGTGGCGATTTTGAAGCCAGACTGGGATAGCTGTTCCAGTTTAATTTGAAGTAACTTAATTGCTCACGTTTTTTCGGTCTTCGGGAAGCGGAAAAAGATTTTCCACCACATCAGAAAAACTTGTTTTCGCAGTGGAGATGGGAGGCACATGGCATGCCTGCCATCTCCAAGTATGCGCTGGTGTATGCCCGAAGGCGACCGGTTGATCAACCATCGATGCCCCATTGCAGACGTGACCGCGTACTCAAATGAAATCCAAATAGAAATGTATAACGAGCTTACACTTCTTAATATATTTATTAAGTATTTAAAAGTGCATATGAAGATTTCGGATCAAGGCTATCACAGACGACAGTGAAAGAACAACAAAAAAAACAACAACAACAACAATAACAACAAAAGTTGCAGACGGCCCCCCAATAGTCCAGGCATAGCGTAACAGACGAACCGGTGGTAGTAAGGGACGGAGCGAAGGAAAGAAGTTAAAAAATAAACCAAACAAGGCAAAGCGAAATACGCGATGGTTCGAACGTCAAGTAAGCGCAAGAAAGAAAAAAAGGCAAACAAAAAACATAAACGCAGGAGGAAGAAAGACCGCGGCGGCGTATCGTCGCCTCAAACATAAAAAGAAAGTAGACTTTGAAAA